GAGAGAGAGAGAGAGAGAGAGAGAGAGAGAGAGAGAGAGAGAGAGATAAGACAGACAGACAGACAGACAGACAGACAGACAGACAGACAGACAGACAGACAGACAGACAGACAGACAGACAGACAGACAGACAGACAGACGCAGAGAGAAGGATATGTTCAAGATCAAGAATCGGCAAAAATAATTTTAACCGCTCCCTTTTATTATATCTTCTCTGTTATTTTCAGCGGACTCTGTTGTGTTATTTGTTCTACATTGTACTGTGAACTGTTTCTTTGTAAGTTGTTTTAGTAAGGTTTTACACGGCGCTCGCAACTGCATAAATAAGGTCATATACATTGTACATGCATTGAGCGCCAGTTCCTTGGTTACTTTGTTTGAGAATAGGTATCGTCGCAGGCGATACAATATGTCATAGCTACTGTAATTACCTTAGGTAATTACCCCTCCTCCCCAGGATCCATGAAGGGTTGGCTTGCTGATGTGCCAGCTATCAGCTGGTTAGATATACTTCTGGCTTTTCCTCGCAGGTTAAATTGCTGTCTCTCCCCGACCCTCTTGAGACTTCAGCTTCGACTATTGTGTACCGTATGATGTGGTGCCTTCATCGTATTACCTATGTTCGTTGAACCATGCTGTCAAAGCTGCTATGACTGTTGATAGATCTAATTGCGGTGCCGCCAAGGAGATTAAAAGTAGTTCTAAACTCCTTGGGTGCCGCCAATCTCAGCCTGACCAGCACGATAATATGACTAGGACTATAGATCCATACAATTCATACAATCCTTTCGAGTCTGCTGCTTCTTATTGCCTCTCACCAGTCTGGCATACATCATGTATTTCTTCACTTTTTCGAGGGTACTCATCGATTCAGAGACGAGGATGGCAGACTGATTCTCCGTCGTCTTAATCGGGTTAAGGGCCTCGACTGTGATGGATGGCTTTCATCTCCATGCATATGCTGGACGTGGTTAATATACTAGTGGCGCCTGGCATCTCTCTCTCTCTCTCTCTCTCTCTCTCTCTCTCTCTCTCCCTCTCTGTCTCTCTCTGTGACCTCTCCGTTTCTCTGTGACATCTCTTTCTCTCTCTCTCTTTCTCTCTCTCTTTCTCTCTCTCTCTCTCTCTCTCACTCTCTTTCTTTCTCTTTCTCTCGGTGACCTCTCCGTCTCTCTCTCTGTCTCTGTGTCTCTGTGTCTCTCTCTTTCCGTCTATGTATATATATATATGCCTCTCTCTGTGTGTGTCTCTCTCTCTGTCTCTCTCTCGATGACCTCTCTCTCTCTCCCTCTCTCTCTCTCTC